CACACACATATGCACACACATACATACCACAGCTTGCCCCACTTGTGAAGCAGCTGGAAAGCACCTAATAAACAGAGACTGATAATCTGCAGGTTCCTGTGGTTCATTCTAGTGCTCCTAATCGGTATTTGCCCAGAATCCAGTGGGCCCGCTGAATGAAACCAACCAATCAGAGCTGAGAAGTATATTAAGGTGCTTCGGTTGGGAGGCCAAGCAAGAGACTGTTGAGTGTCATTCCCAGGGTTGTGAGTGTGTGAGTGTGAAAGAATGCTGAAAGCTGAATGAATCAATTAGTCGACAAAAAACAAAACCACTATTCTTCGGTAATATTAAGTCTCCAGTTCTAGTTACTCAAATGTGCTGCTTCTTTTTATGTGGTATTAAATGGAATCTCTTTAGGGCTTTAGGAAACTGATTCATCATTTTAGAGATCAAAAGATTAGTCAGTTTATGGAGAAAATAAACTGCAGATGAACGGTTCATTGCAGCCATTATGTACTAGTACAACACACTCCCATTTTCAACATAATATATCTAATGTTTACAAAAATCATTTTCTGTCAGGCAGTGAATGCAGACCAGCCAGGACGGTGCTTATCTGAAAATCAGACCAGGACATCGGCTAACTATTTCCCACTGTGTGTCATTGTAGGTGCCCTAAATCATGCCGCCAGTAAGAAGCTGGATCTGGAGGCCTGGTTCCCTGGCTCTAGTGCTTTCAGAGAGCTGGTCTCCTGCTCTAACTGCACCGACTACCAGGCCCGACGCCTCCGCATCCGCTATGGGCAGACCAAAAAGATGATGGACAAGGTGAGCACTCTGTCCTGACGCAGCTGTGCATCTCGACAAACTTCTGTCCCATAATGCAACCTCGGCTACTGTTGGGCGTCTAATTTAATTCCAGATTGTCAGTCACTGAGCTTGGGGTGTGTCCCGAGCAGTTTAGTTTAGCATGTGACTGCTTCGGTTCAGTACACCCTGTGACCCACCAATTACTGTCAACATAGTCTATCTATGTCTAAGCATAAGGTCACCTTGGAAGTTGATGCCAAAATTTAGAAAACTTGACATTTGTAGCGTAGGTACCAGAGATGCAATTCTTCCAGACCTGCTGTTGACGACGAGGAGAAATCCAACAGATGTAGTGCACAGTTGCAACCGTCGTCCACCTGTCTGTCTAGTACTGCACTCAAGTTCAACAAAAGCCCCACAAACAAAAAGCAGACGAGAGTAATTTATTAATGTCATTTGTCCAAAAGCTGTACAGATGGCAGAAATAAACTTAAACACTTTTAAAAGGAGAGTGAACATCACTGAAGACAGCTGTAAGACCAACAGTGATGACAGAGTTTGTTAGGCTGTTTGTTAGGCTGTTTTACTGCCTACTTTGTTCTTTAGGAAAGTATAACAAAACATATGAGCTGTTACAATAAGAACTGAACAGTGCTAATGAGCCACTGTTAAATGTTTACACTTAATAATAATAATAA